ACAGTTATATGTAATATATACAGTATTTTTATAATTATCATCTTTTGAATAATAGTGCAGATTCTTGGTAGTCTGGTGTCCAAAGAAAATTTCAGTACGATTAATTTGCTCCCCTGTGTTAGCATCAGATGTTCTTTGCCTGTAACTTGGTGCTTTTTACAGTTGCACAAAGCCAAAAACATTTACTGAACTGACAATGGAGAAAGAGCTCCTGAACTGTTTTTTGGTCAGGAAGCTTCTGCAGTTGTAGTTCTAGAATATGAAAACTCCAACTCCTTTGACTACAAAGTCAAAAATACACTGGTCTCGCAATGCAAGATGCTGACCTCATTCAGGCTCACTTAACTAATTCCTGTTTGTTCAAAAATTCATAAGAAGATTTTCATAATGGGAAAATTTTGTCCAATTGGATGTTATTTTCGATAAGTTAACCTTTGTACAAGTTTTCTGCCAGCTGGGATACTGTCATCATCTTACAGCTGGCATAAAACAGGTGTGAGGACCCTACTGTGCTCTTTAATTTGATGTAAATTTACTCATTTGCCTATCTCTGATCCAGCTTGAATCACCAAGTGATCTGGCATTTTGTGCCTTCAGTGTTTGCATCAACCAGTGCTCAAGTATTTCCTTTTCATACTTAAATGATTTAATGGTGGTCCTAAAACAAACAAAACAAAACCACAAACTTAAAACTTTGATTTGCCTTTCTGAGGTTTACAGTTGTGTGATTCTGCTCAGACTGACCAAGAGAGGGTGCTCAAAATCCATTCTTTACCACTAGATGGGAAACATTGCATGGCTTACAGGTTGTTCTCAAGACCTTAGTGGGGATAGTGAATTTAAATGCTAAGGAGTTTGCAAAATTAAATAAAAGAAAAAATGCAGGACTGTTGTCAATGTTTTAAATCTCTATCAGGGAGAAAAAATACAGGAATATGCAGATGGAAGAATATATAAGTATGCACTCCCTTTCAGTTACACACAGTCAGGATACAAGATTGAGTGATTAATTCTGTTTTCTTCTGTAACTCTTAATTTTTATAGTTTGTAGTGATGGCATATGACACCGGGACAGTTACTAAATTTTGAAACCGGTTTTAAGCTTTTAAAATTAAGTTGAATTGCAATCTTAAGGAAGCTGGGTACCTGTAGTAGGGTACCAGTAGTCAAAACACTTCAGTCAAGACTGCAAATGTGTTGTAGGTATTTAGTTTAATCTTATGATTGGAAAAGCAAGATGTGAAAGTTGGCTCCTACTAGATACTGTCGCTTGGGCCACAGATGTTGCTTTGGGGATTTTTTTTTGCAAATACCATATAAGTAGTAATTACAGATGTCTTCAGCATGCAGAGTATGTCTAAGTACCATGTTTCATTAAGGTGGCAATTGTATATTCTCAAAAATTCATTCATTCTAAAATTAAACTGCCTATCTGCTCTATATGATATGAAATCAGTTAAGCTTCAAATTACTGTTTGGACAACTGGTGTTTGTTTAATGCCTGTACATTACACAGATAAACCATTTTTCTTGCTGCATCTTGTACTGATTTCTTCAGTTGCAAATTATCTCAAAAAATTACCATTTCTTCATGAGATTTTCTTTATAGATTCACAGTGCATAGAGAAAAATAAGTGTGTGTTTTTTTTCCCCAGATCATTCCCTGGCTCCCCCATACTCACTGGCTTCCTTACTTCAAAAGTAACTGGTCAACATCAAGTTGTGCTCCAATTTCTGTATCACTTTACAAGCAGATCCAAGACAGATACCTTTATCTTCATTGATAATCACGCATGAAATCTTATTTCACATCTAAAGCTGTTTTTTCCTTATAAATTTGTCTCAAATTAGAAAAAAAAGTAGGAGAATTCCTACAATAACTTTCTGTGTTTGTAATTTTTAGGTTCCAACATCAAAATTCTTGAAGATCAGTTTGATGAACTAATAATAGAGACTACAATGAAGCGTAAGCAGTGGCCTAGAAAGATATTGATGCACACTATCCAAGCCATGAAAGCAGAGCAAGAGATGTTGGTGAGTAGCCTAACATTTTCAGAAAATCTTTGCATATAGTAGCTGCTGACCATGTGTAACTTGAAAGAAAGAAATTATCGAATGTTGACCTTTAAGAACACTCCCATTTTGATTCTTCGTGATATAATGAAATTGTTTATTAATTTTTTCTTCAGTAAAACGAGGGTTCCTGCAATGTGGTGTGACTATGAGTGAATTGGGCCTATGGCACAGGTTACTTAAGGAGATTGCTTCAACGTGATGACTTAGGATTTACATGCCAGTGTACACTTATTTATCTTGTCAGATCCAGGTTTCTGAAATTCTTGGCTGAAGAATGGTTAAAGTACTAAATGTTATGATACATACAGGTATTATCATGTGCAGTATATGACTTTTAAAAAGATATCTGTGTTTTCCTAAGCACTTTTGTTAATAACTGCATTGAGTAAATTTTTTTAGTAAAGAAAGCACAAAACAAGTAATATAGATTAATGAATAGGTGCAGTGACCTCTCTGGGTTTTTTTGACAGTGAGCGTAAATTACTGGCATTTAGCAACCAAGGACATGACTGGATTGTTTAATTTCTTTCCTGCAGTTGCATTAGGCCTGCCTTTTGCTTATCTGCTTATTAATTAGGAGTAAATTTTCTTGACTGAATTTTCATGAAAAGAAAAGGACAAGAGACAATGAGCACAAATGGAAATGCAGGAAATTCAATGTAACCATTCAAAAACAAAAATTAAAGGCTGTGAAGGTACTGAAACCCTGGCACAGGTTGCTCAGTGAGACTGTGGAGTCTCCATCCTTGGAGATACTCAACCTGACTGAATGTGGCCCTGAGCAACCTGCTGTAGTTGGCCCTGCTTTCAGTAGGGGGTTGGACTACACCATTTTTAGAGGCACTTTTCAAGCTCAACTACTCCATGATTCTATGAAGCCCTGGTTTTGCTGGGATAGAGTTATTTTCCTTATAGAAGCCAGGGATTTTTTTTTTTTTTTCTTTTTTCTTTTTTTTTTTTTTTTTAGAAAGTTGTTTTAAGAGCCTGCATTGCATTTCTGAGGGCTAAAATTGACAAAAGTAACTCTCGGTTAGCCTAGCATAGATGATTTACAGTAAGTAAAAGTGCGTGGATAGATATCTGTTTTAAATCTGAGATACTTTCTAAAATATATTGCCTTTTGTGGTCTCTGTTTTGTCAATATATCAAGATGTAAAACAAATAAACTAAAATAAAATATGCCATTGCATAAAACTAGGATTTAACAAGACCTTTTAATCTTTCTGCTAAAGGAAAACTTATGTTCTACCTGAGTCCCAAAGTGGATTCGTTATTAGAATGCCTCTCATGCTAGCTTTTGTCTATTGCTGACCACTTCAACTTTTATACCACCACAGCTAGATGATTATTTTAAATATAAGTGTCTGCAAAATATAGCAAGTTTTTAGTTTATCTCTGTAAATGAAGTGGCTTTTTCCCCCCCTCTCAGCTACTTCTGCGAAGGTACTGGTGGTTTCTCTACTTTTGGTCGAGGAATTTTTGTTCTTTTTTGACCCTAGCTACTCCTGTGATGCATGTTTTCTGAGGCATAAAGAGCAGCTATGAAGACACAGTAATTAACTGCAGTTTATCTGGAGAGAACCACGCATTTAGTGCATAGTCCTATAATTGCCAAAGCAAGAGATCATCCTGTAGTATTTCAGTCAATACGTTCTGTTATGTTTGAGGATAATGCAAGCAATGTTTGTTGTTCTGCTTGGAGCTGTTACTGTTAACTTGCTAAGAAGATGTGTGAACTGTGAAAAATTTGCTGTGGTAAAGCTTTAGGGAGGAATAAGTAACTTTCCTCCTGCTTGTTTTGTTTTTGATTGAAGAAGGTTGAGGGACAGCTTCTGAAGTGCAGAAAAACACTAACTTGCAGATGATGTAACGTACGTTCCCATGTCTTTGCTCTGTTTCCTTCTTTCCCAGTAGTTACTTCTAATTCCATCTTCAATGTAACTAAAGGTCAGTTGTATTCATTATTTATGGTGAGTTGGCTTTGTGTCACAGTTAACTGATGTCAAGTCACAAGCCTTGCAGTAGGACCAAAGAGCCAGAGAGCCTGGTCTGTGAAGGAGACTGTTCTTATGCATAAGCGATGGCAGAACTAGAATGTAGTCATTTAAGTAGTTTTCTTTTTCTTAGGTTTTTGTCTTAATGTCCCCTTTATTCGCATTGGCTCCTCTGTGAAAGCGTACTGTTTTTGTGAATGGCTCCTTAGAAGTCAGAGCAGCTCTTTTTCCTTGGTTGTGCAGCAGGTGGCAACGCTTCTTCCAAAATGCCTGGATTTCAGTTTAGTTCTCATGCTGTAATAATTAGGATTCTGCAAACTAAAGCAGATTTTGGAGACATGTTTGCAGTGAACTTCACTGTGTTAACCAGAACACTGTTTTCAGTAACTGAGTATCTATAAATGGTACCTCTAATACATTCTTTATCTAAATAATTCCACCACCATCTCCTTCTATTAGTCTTTCTCCATTGTTCTGACTGCTATGTGTATATTAGATATCTATTAAACCAAGAGGTTATTTCAGAATTTTTCTTTTTTATTTTTTTAATATGCAGAAGCTCTACCAGCCTTTTGTAACACCAGAAGAGAGAAGATTGCAGCCTTCTCAAGGTAAAGATTTTGCGGGGAGGGCAACTGTACTGAAAAACCACTGCCTACCTTACTGTCTAGCTGTAAATGTTTAAGAAGCTTTCTTTAAACTTGTATAAAATTATTGACTGTTTAAATAATTAACTAAAATACCTAGGAGTTTGTCATAACTGAATGTACTGCTGCATCAGTTTGTGTACCCATTTCTTTTCTTCTAAGCGCTGTCTGCTGTTAGGCATGGTACTTAAAGGCAAAAACTGCCCACTGTGTGGGTTTGGGGTAGGAATTGTCACAAAGCCACACTCAATAGGTTTTCTTACTGCTTTCCTTCACCGCTGGTGGAGGCCAGATGGGGAACTGGATGGATTGCTGACATTATACATTGACCGTTCCTGTGTTCCTTTTACATGAATACTAGAAATGGTTCAGTCTCTCTTCCTAATCACTCAGTTTCTTCAGGGAATTGAAAGCAGTTGTGTAGTACTCTGGCAGTGTTGACTTTCCTAATTTGCACAGTAGGCATCAAGTTTTATTCTGCCTGTGTCATTTGTAAGGGTTGATGAAGAAACAAAACTGCAAACAATATCTTAAGTTTGCTACATGCTTTTGAAAGAATCCTTGTCCAGACTCTGTGGAACGAGGTGGTGTATTTTGCAGACAATGATTGAGTTGTGCTTTCTTGAGGCTGGCCTTAAGAAATTGAAAGTTGTCTTGCCTGTCCTTAATTATTGAAAAATGACAGAATTTTCCAGTGCTGTTCTAGTTGGAAAGTGTGGTTACAGAACCCTTGCTATGGATCACTGCTCATGATGCAAAGCTGGTGTAACAAGCAGCGGTGGTAAAGTTTGAGAAGCTGAGCTTAATCTTCCAGTTTGTACCCTGCTGATCTGAGTTCACTCTAGGCATCATTTCCTCTTTGTAAACAGGAGACATTGCTTCCAGAAATGCCAGCCTGTGCAGCACAGCAGCTAACAGGAGCAGAAAAGTGTCACTTCACGTGTGGGTTTCTTTTGGTTTCTGATGTTCAGATCTATGCTTTTCTGATGCAAATTAACTACTTCTTGTAAGTTAGTAACAGCTTGCCCTATGGTATTGCCTTTTTGGGTTTGGTAACAGCAAAGTCCTAGCCCAATATAGCATTGAGTTTGTGCTGAATTTTGGTATTATGTAGTCTTTGGGAAGTTTATGTATCCTAGTTTAGCAAGTACAGTGGCCAGAAACCAAAAATGCTTAGATTACTCAATACCTTTCATTTCCTTTTTTCATTTCCCTATGTTTCGGAAAGGCTTGAAGACTGAGGAATACAATGCTGTCCATGTCAAGCTGAACTCCTGCAGGCAAATTTCATTTAACTATGTGTCAGCCTTTCTGTATAACTGGAACAATACAATTAATTATTTTTACTTTTCCTTAACTCCTTCCTTGCCATTTCATAGGGTCACCAGTCTTCTAATCCAAATACATTATTGTAAGACTGCTTCGTTAGGGACTTAACCTTCTTTTAGAGACTGTCCACTACAATAGTAGTGGAGGTGAAGCTACTTAGTTCCCAGGAGCACGCTTGCTTATCTGCTGATTTTATTGATAGCATAGCATTGCAGACAGAATAATGGTGGAGAACATGCAAAACAGCTTTATAAAAACTTAAAAGAGTGTAGCTCTTGAGTAAGGAATTATTATTGCTTGTAAACCAATTGTAAAAAACTTATATTGTGTTGATGATCTTATCATATTGCTACTGCAATCAAATCTGCCATTTCCCCCCAGTATTCTGTACCTGCTGCCTGCTTCAGTGTTGCTGAAAGCTTCTTTTCATTTCTTTTCTTATTAATCCAGCAGAATTAATGCAGTTCATGTTGTTTATGCTTGGTTCTTTTTTATTCTTGGTGTTAATGCTTGGTAAGTTAAGCCAGGAGAAAAATGTCGCTTTATTGTGAAAGCTGACTTGGAGCTGTAAGATTACTTTTTTCCCCTCCTTAAAATGGGTTTCATTCTTCTCATGTTCTCCAGAGTTGTGTTTATTCTCCTTCTTTAATGAATTTTTATCAAATGTAATGTGAACTTGAAAGGTTTGAAAACAAATGTGGGTTTTTTTCTCTATAGCTGCTCTATTCCTTTATGTCAAATATTGTCTTTGTGTCTCATGCTTTGTGTAGGCTGTAGGTTTTCTAGTAAGGAATTTTGTAGCTTGCTACAGTTGAGACTGCTAGGCACTACTACATTTTGACTGATAAAGGGTAGTAATAATAATAAAATAAAACATACGAGCTGTCGTTCTCAATGCTATAATGAAATAGATGTTTTGTAGGTTTACATTTTATATGGGGACTACTGCTTTGCTGTGTAATTTCTAAGAAGTTCATAGCGAGTATTGGAGGCAGGGAGTTAACATTTCAGGAATTTATTTGGGCTTTGTTTTTCTGCAGATGCTTACATCGCAGATCTGAAGCAGCTGACTGAAGTGGCATCCAGACAGATCAGTGGAGCAATGCAGGTGAGATCTCTGTGCTCCAAGGGGATTTTTTTTTTTTGTTATTTTCTTGATCTGTTATTATGCCATGAAACAGGAACTGTAACTCACCTTGATTATAGTTTTGTACAAAAAAGCCTGTATGTGTCCTTTTGAAGCAAGTAGATCTTTAGGTTTGGGCTGCTGAAGTTGTATCTGTTAAGCATTCCCCCTCACATGGTAGTACGGAAGATTACCCTGTGGCTGTAGGAAGTATTTTTTACAGAGATTTTTAGAACCTGCAGCATCTGAAAAATAAAACACTTTTTGAAGACATGTACCACTTCATACAGCACACATTTATTACTCCAGTACCACCTTAGGCATGAACTGTGGTGTTCCTGTGACACTAGAGATGTAATGAAGGAACATTTAAACTTGCCATACTCTTTGTATGGCTTCTGAGCACAGACCCTGTCACTGTTAGACTGGTAGCTCCAAGTTCCCAGCCTTCACCTGTCATCCTGAGGACCATCTCTACAGACACTGAAGCTTTTGGGGCCTGTCAGACCCCAATTAACGTGTTTCATTCATTGTAACCATTACTTTTCCCATGTAACTTGAGATAATTGGGTTTGGTTTTGCAGTCTCTCCCGGCACTGATAGAAAGAGCAGAAGGTTTTTCCCAAGCGTTAACTTGGCAACCAACCTTGGAACTCTGCAAGCTGCGGCAAGAAGTCTTTGCTGGTTGCAAGGCAAAGGAGGAAAAGAGCGTCCAAAACTTTGTATCTCCAGGAGAAGTCACACCAACAGATGCTAGTACCAGAAAAAATCCTTATGTTTTGCTGAAAAGAAAAAAAGTTGTGGGTTCACCAGAAAGAAGATGCTACCCACTTCGACAGAGGAAGATTAATCTCAGTGTGTGAATGTCTTATTTGGTATTTTCACATTGGAAAATCAGTTGTACTCTTGTTCAGTGTGCTCAGTCTATTTTCTCAAATTTTCATCTCACCTCTAATTCAGTGCTATACACAGGAGCTTCCTTAATTATTCAGTCTTTGATCCTTTTAAATATTTCTGTTTTTACTGTTACACTGGTAGTATATGAAAGACTACATGTACCGGTAGCATTTGATACCCAACAAATATATTTACTCATTAACTTTCATTTTTTACTTTTTTATTACAGCATTTAGCTTGAGTCGTTGTGCCTCTCAGAGTTGTGCGTGTGCTTTATGTATGTGGGCAGTCATTTAGTAAACCATAAAGTGCTCATTTACATGAAGCATGTCCCTAAAGAGGATGGAGAATGTCTACTTCTCCTAATGCACCTTCATTTATTACTGAGTCAGGTGACTATTTCTTTAATAAATACATTAAAAGGAAACTCACACTGAAGCATATTGAAAACACCAGATTTGATAGGAAGTTACAGTTTTTAGAAAATCCACACACATATGTGACATTAGTCCCTGCTATTCCACTTTGCCTGAATTTAGGTCAGCTGTGCTTAATTTATAGTAGTTTTTGTTTAAACTTGTACTTCTATTAATTGTATGTGTTTACTCGGCAGTGTGCCCTTGGAACAAGGGTTCGACCATCCCCATCTTACCATCTGATATTTCATTTCATGTAATCCAATTATGCAGTCTGGGGGTTTCCTGGACAATATTTCTACACATTACAGGATCTTGGGTCATGTATGCATTTGTGATGTTTGACTAAACTTTAAAGATCAGTATAGGCTACCAGTAAATGGTTTTAAGTCAAGCTAGTTTACCCTTTTTCTTTTCCCCTTTGCAGATTAGCAGGTAGGCAGAGTAGCACAGTAGTACTAAACTGACCATTTTGCTTTAACCATTCATAACTTTTTCTTGTTTAGGATTGGATGTGCTCACAGTTAATACTCATGTCTGATACGTAGCCTATTTTTAGAGGTGTTTTTAGAAGTTTTATTAATGAAGTGTACTGTGGTAAGAAGTTGGGTCCAACTTAATGTCGAAGAGACTGAAAATTTGCAAGAAAACTTGAGACAGACTTTAGCATCATTTATTTTGTAAAGGTGAGCTTCTGTACTAAGATTTTGTATATTTAATCATATGTAAATATTTGTTTCCCGTCGCTCTTGTATATACAAATGTGTGTTTTTATACAAAGTAAATTAAATCAGTTAAGAAAAGATCAACGTCTCAGATAACGGTGGTGGTTCTAATCCTGGAAGAGATGGGGACTGAACAGTGAGTGTACTTCAGAAGACATCTGTGTTAAATTCTGGCTTGAGTAACTGAAGTAGTTCCATTTACTGCCTTTGAACTCACAACTGTTATTAATCGCAGGGCTACAAAGCCTCTAATGTAAGAGAGGACAGGATGTGAGAGGGGCTGGAGCGGCAAAGCTGTGGAACGTGTGACTGGGACGGTTTTTAACACCGCAACTTGCTGTTCTAGCTGCTTCTGAGTATGCTGGCTTGAAAATCCCCACCATGACTTTCTTCACCACGGTCTCTTTAATCTGAGTCTTCCTAGACTAAGATGAGCCCTGCAAGGTTTTGCCTGACTACCATTATAGTATTTGAATGTTTTCTGTGTTAATATGAAGATTCCCTGCTATACTCTGCAAATAAAGATAGGCAAGTACAGAAAATAGGTAGGAAGAGGTGCATCTCTTTGAAGAGGTCACATCAAAATGGCCAAGGTAGTTCAAATGCCTTAAGAAATAAGTAGGGATAGCGCTGTGGATTAAGACTTAAGTGGATTAATGAATTCGCCCTACAGTGCGTGTTAGTGTTAAGAAATTGCGATAGTTGGCCTGCATGGGATTTGAAGGAAGAGGGAGTGGATGCCCTGTGCTGGGGCAGTCGGGCCTTGTTCCATCGCCTTTATTTCAACCACAGCTGGGTGGAAAAAGAAAAATGCACCTGGAAACGTTGGCCAAATAAATAGTTTAAGGAAGGGTAAAGAAAACAAAACAATGAAGATGCCAAGTGCAACATCTGAATTTACAAATGAATCCACAAATCTGGTGGCCGCTTCTAGTCAAACAGCACTGGAGGGTGTCAGAAGACCTCTAAGAGTAAGTTCTGTGATGAGCTAAACTCAACACTTCAGTGTTGAGCTGTTTTTCGAATGGTTATTAAAAATAAAGATATATTCTTCCCACTGGGAGAAATACATAAAATAATTAATTTTTTCCTATTCCAGTAGCCTTTTGTCCTTCAGTTAACTCTTCATAGAAATCAGCAGTGTTGCGCAAGACAAGTGTCTAATCAGGCTTCTACTGAAATGTCACAACATCCAAACTTCTTATTTTTAACTTGGGGCGAATTGGTATTGCATCAAGAAATGTCTGGTAGTTTTTCTTTATATAGCCTTTGAAATTTTGTAAGACAGCTCAGCGGTGATGGAGGCTTGGGAACATTTCTAAGCAGAGTTTGAATCTCTTGGTTATCAGGGGGGAGAGGGAACATTTCGCTGTGTAGAAATCCTTTCCCTCCTTATTTCTGGTGTTAATGTGTACCATCAGTGGTGTGCTTATCTCTTGAGAGGATGGGCCATCCCCCTACCCAAGAAAAGCTTGCGAATTGAAGCAGTATCCATGCACACTTTTGCTGTGTGTAGTTTTTGAATAAAGGAGATTGTGAACAGCATGCAGGGAAGCTCCTTTTCCCGAAATCTTGATGTGGATGCCTGCATCTGAAAGCTTGGGCGCACTGGTGCTCTGAAACCCGTTTCTGCTACATGTTGTTCAGAAGAGCCGCGCTGAGCTTAGCTGCCTTCAGCAGCTCTGGTCTGCTGGTCTGCGTGTGTGTAGGCTGCTTTAGCGCAGACAAAAATCACTGATAAACTGCCATTATAAAATGTACAGTCAGCGGACTGGGCTTGTTTTCTCTCCTGCATTGAAAAGCTCTGCCTTTACTGCTGCGTTACCTGGAATTACTGTGTAGGCATTTCTACAGATGTACCAGAGATAGCTTCAGTACTAAGCAGAAACTTGTTCCCACAAGCAAATTTTGACTTTTCATTTCCTTTGCCACTTTGAACAAGAGCAGACTGTACTCAGGCTCAAGGGGACTGTCCCATGATTTGTCCCATAATTGTGGGATCCTGGAAACATTACAGCAAGGCAGCAAGAAGCCCAGTGCTCGCTTTTTACGCAACCGTCCCAGCTAAGTCTCAGCTCCTGCCGTGTATTTTTACTCCTTTTCTTTAACTGCATGATGTGTAGTTAATGCAAAATTGAGCTGTCAAAGTAGTGGTTGAGAGCAATTCACTCTCTTAATCGCTCACCACCTTGATGCTAGTGCTGCCTTCCAGGATATGTTGGTTTGCATCCCCTCAGCTGAAGGACAGCACTGAACGTGCACCTTCTCTAGCCTCTGTGAGCACCCCCTTGGTGAGCATCCAGGTGATGGAGGAAGCAAGGCTGCTTTTAAAGAAGCCAGGGGGTCATAAGATGTTCGGGAGACCCAGCACAGACTGGGGATGCAGGGTAGGTCACAGCAGTTTTGGCAAGGGGGGCCTTCCTGGGTTGTGGGGCCCCGTGGCTGTTTGGTGGAGAAGGCTCACAGGTACTCAGTCCTCTGGGTCCAGAGGAGCTCTGAAAAAGTGGAAAACCAAAGCTGTGGGTAGCCTGGAAGATGGAGACACAAGCTGCTTTGAGGTGAAGCAGCTGGGGAGAAGAGCAAAGTCCTGCTCAGGTGTTTCAGCAATTCTGATGGTGCCAGAGCTTATCTGTGGCAGAGTGCAGACTTCGCTTTGACTCTTGGGACTCCCAGGCAATGCATTTCTCTCACCTTCAGCACCAACTGTGAGCCAGACGTTCCTGAAAGGACAGTCTATATTTACTCAGTTTGCAAACCTTGTAACCTCATATTCATCCAAGCTGGATGACTCAAACTTTTGCATAAACCAGAAAAATAGGGAAGTATCTCATTTATTAAGATACCTGGGGCCCTATGACTGATGGCCCTGCAGGTTGGGGACTCTTGACCCTCCTTGCATGGCCATGTGTTTACCCCTGAGAGCTGCACACAGCCAGGAGTGCACATTAGGCACCACATACAAATACATCTATGGATGTTGTTGAAGTACCTGTGGGTGCAAATACAGTCCCTTCCTTCAGAGCAGAGGGCCAAGATAACAGTTCAATTAAAATGCAGGGGAAGTGTCTGAAGGAATTAAAGAAACATTATTCCGACTTTTATAATAGTCTTGACAGAAGAGTTGAACAGAAAGATTTTTGTCGGTGGCAACTGCGTTTTCAGGAGTTCTTATCCGGCTTCGTCTTTACAAGAAGCCTGTGGCATTTCCTTATTATTTAAAGGAACAGGGCGAGCAGCGAAAGTGAAAATCGCTTTATCCCAGTCCCGGGGCCATGTCCTCACGCCCACGAGGCCC